CAGTGGAGAAGCTTCATCTTTGTCATATTTTATCAATAATACATTACTTGGAATTATATTAAAACTTACTCGCAATACCTGTACTTTTCTTGTTCTGTAGATGTGTAGATGATGTTGCTTGTTAAGATGTTATCTTTTATAAAAGAAAGCCCTGCTTCTTATCATGATGTATGTGACTTAAATGATTGTTTCATATTAAAACTATTTCTTCCTTATGTACTGTTTACATATACCTCTTTTTGGGATATTAGTTCAGTACTTTCATACAAATCTGAGTGTGTTCCACATTGGTGACATGTATTTTTGCAGTAATTTTTTTGTTTTGTTCTTAGAGCATGTCTAAAGTAATACATGCACTAGTGCTGTGGTCTGTGGCAAAATTACTGTAATTCAAATTGGAAAATAAAATGTTTCCAGACTTTGTCCAACATTTATTCCTATGACAGAGGAAATTACTATGTAATACTAATTATTTCTTATGCTGGCATGTTTTAAGCTACTCTATGAAGTATGTGAAACATCAATATTTATGGATTAGTAGATGGAATGATGTCTTTGAAATGTGAGAAAGGAGTAAAATTTGGTGTTAGCAATTCATGACACTCATAGTAAATACTTATTTAAAATTTGATATATTTACAGGTATACTTTGCGAAAGAATTGTCTTAACTGATAGTGCGTATTAGGATTTTTGAAAACCTATACTACTAATATTATACAGCAGACTTTGAATTTAAGTTGATATCTCTCAACTAAACAATATCATTCACTCTAAGCAAAACAAATAGCAGTACTAATTTTCATTTATTAAGAAATGATGAGGATACCATAAACTTAGAATTTGTAATCATTGATACAAGGACTTGAATGCTGTTTACTTTGTATTATCTGATAAAAGGATTTGTTAATAAAAGTAATAATCAAGACTTTAAAGAAAATTTTAATTTTGAAGATAGGTTTTAATTTTTTAAATTTTAGAGGCATTTATTTAAGAACACTAAAAGCATTCTTGTTTTGTCATTAAACAAGTACCTAAAATTATCATAATAGGTAATACTTGACCAATTCAAATCTGTATATTTGAAATTATATGCTTGAAAAAAATTACTTGTGAGTGCTTAAACTGCATATCTTTTAAAAATATTCACATTTTTACACTTTTATCAATTCAAACTATTCTGAATAAAGTTTTACTATATCAATGAGTATATAATAAAGTAAATGTGTACCTATGTTATATTAATATTCCTGTGCTGCATCATATTTGGCATGGTGGTTGTAGTATATTTTATATGTTTGATTGTTGATAGGATATAGCAATAAATCTGATTTACTCTTAATATTTTTTTAAATGCCAGATACCATACCATGTCATAATCCCATTATATTTGACTTGAATACTCATATTTTCATAGGTTTATTTTTTGTGTTAAAAATTTAGTATTACATGTTGGTTTGTTTTTGTCTGATATTTTCACATACAGTCTTTTAAAACTGGGTATAAAGAAGTATTAATATGAAATGATCATGAACTACTTTGTGATAAAACAGATAAAATATGAGAAAACTAGATAGCCTCAAATTGTTTATTATTTTTATATAGTTTGTATGCAGTTACAATTTTCAAAGAAATAAAATTGGCTTCATAACTGATAGAAGTTGGATAGTTTGTTTAAAAGTTTGATTGTTAAATCAGTTACATTCTCAATTGAAATACTTTATAGTAATTACTATAAATATAGTAAGTCAGTTTTCTGTTTGAGATATTTAACTCTTACAGTTTCTCCCTTCTGATCCTATTCCTTTTCCCTAACCACCATGGTAGAATTTAAAATTGGAGTTTTATTTGTCTCCCATGTTTTAGTTGTTTATTCCAAAGTAAGACAAGTAGAGGCTCTGCTGTTGAAACAGCCATGTCATTGTTGGCCATTCTTTCCAGGGATGATGCTAATGCGGCTTATGCATTGTATAAGGAATGTCAGTATATAGATCTACTATCTATTGTAGAATGATGTATGGCAGGCTTTCTTGAATATGTATTGCAAGTTTGTTTCCCATAGTGCTAACTATGCTTCAGAGTCTTTTAAATAAAGCTAGTTTTTAAAGAGAAAAAGACCTGCTTTTTAAGTGTTTGACTTTCATCTCTCATAAGGACAAGTAGGTGCACTCGTTGAGCATCTTGGCTTTAGTAGAATGTGTTCAACAAAGTATCTTGAAGTTTGTTTTTTTGGTACCGGGGATCAAACTTGGGACCTTGCATTTGCAAGGCAGGTGGAGGCACCACTGCGCTAAATCCCTGGTGGTATCAAACCAGGAAATATTCTATAGTTTACCAAGAGTTTAATTATATACTGAGCAAACCAATGGGCCAGGCCTTGCTATATATATGCATTACTTTTTTGGAAAAATTTATACATAATATTGGGTCCTGAGTTTCCTTATGAAATTGTGAATAAGACATGAGTCTGTTTTGATTTTAACAAATTAGGACCTCGGTTCTGTTAACAAAATTAATAGAAGAGTCTACAACCTCAATAACTGAACTACCTCTGAAGCAGAGATGCCATTGTAGCAACCAGAAACTTGCTAAATAATATGATTACATTTACAAAAGATCTCCAAAGTTTATATGAATCCACCACTAGGTTCCTTGTTGAGTCTGTTCCATGAAAACAGGCTGGATAAAATGTGAACAGGTCATTGGTGCAGGTGACATTAAGATATCAAGATGATGAATGCACAAAAGTTGAGTTTATACTAATGGAATGAAAAATAACTATCCTGCACCTTGAGACCATGCTCTTGAGTGAAATAAATCAGACACACATGTTTAAATACCACATTGTTTCTCCAATGTGGAAATAAGGACCAAAATGTATAACAGATATTGGGAAATGGAAAGAAGGTGTTCAAATGGAAAGGGGATGGAGGAGGAAAGTAAGGAAGCAACAAGAAAAAAGCTGGGGAAGGAAGAAAAAAATATCCTACCTGCCACAGAAGACAAGAAAGATGTAGTCTTTGCATCCAGTATCACTATG